TTGAGGAAAGAAACTTTGCACCATAAATCTCAATCTTAATTGTTCTAACAGTAACAGTTCAACCTCATTGTCATTGAACTAAATATGGCCACCTCGTAACCGTAGAACGCCCAGCTGTCTTAGACTTAGCCTCTCTTTGTTTGCTGTCATTTCGTGAAAACAATGAGGAATAGTACAACTACAATAATCACTAGAGAGAGGAATGCGCCGATACTCCTTTTGCTATAAAATAGTCCCAACCCTGTTCGGTCGCCGCATGCGGATCGAGTGACAACTCATCATACACATCTGACAGCATATTGACAGCTCATCACACATATTGAACAGCTGTCAAATGGCTATTTTGAGTTCCAATATAACCAGGGAGGAGCGTGGCAGCGTCTTCAAACAACTTAGCATCAAATGTGGTATAACAACTGCCTAAAATAGACAAAACACTTAATAAATAGATAAAATAGACCACACACAATGTATTACCGTTTGCCACACTCAAGTAGGCAGTTGTTATACCACATTTGATGCTAGGCTATTTTGAGGCTTAAACCAGGTGATCTGAGTCGGCGCTTTAAAAACAAGCAGGGAAAGGTAAGAAAATAGCTGGAGTTTATTGTTTTCTAAGTGATTTTAAGCATCGAAAAGCATGTCGCTCTTCCTGCCGATTATTTATTATAAACAAGTCTTTTCCTCAAGAGCTGATGAGATCCCGTTACTGCCTGGCCAGTCGGGGAAAGTTTCGCCACGAAGTTTTGTGCCGCGAAAGCATTTGTGTTTTCTCAAGTATTGTAGCAAAGCAGTCAAAAAGGATTAGTGAAATAAATATTGGCTACACCTGCGACAAAAAGTTGTCTGAGACACGAAAAGAGTTTTGTATTAAAGCCAGGCAAGACATTGTATAACAGATTCGTTCATTTACTGATTTAGATATATGAACATAAACAAAATTTAGAAGTGGAAATATTTAATGAAATAACAAAAAATTATAGCTATGTGTGAGCCACTACCTTCTTTATGTGGATAAATTTAGTTACTGTTTTGGCGATAAATGCTATATACGGAATACGAGACCAAGTCACCAAATATACAAGACTATACAAAATCAAATGCCCGTAAAACCCAAACAAATGAAACAATTGCTTTTCTAGTATATTTTTGTCCTTAGTGAGGTTCTATAAAAAGAAAACTATGTCATATCCCATCAATCTTTCCCCGTAATTGACAAAAAATGCCAAAACAATTCCTGAAATAAAGAAACCGTCAATTCTCGCTAGTCTTCGGTATGAAAATATCAATAACAAAACGCGCGCATTGATCTATGGTATGGATTCTATTTGCATGCAGAATAATGCTTGGCGAGATATCACCTGGAAATAACAGAAGGTTATCAATTCAGACGATTCGTTTTTGCCGTGTGCAAGCTTCAAATCTTTTGTGCAAGACATATTTTGTTTAGTATTAAATTTTATAAATCTTTGTTTTGAGAATTGCGGTCAATTGCAAGTTAGCTTCGGAAAAGACAAGACCAAAAACTGAATTCAGTATATATATATATACGGCAGGTTATTAAAGTGTGCACATGCATGCCGCGTGTATTAACTACCATTTAGGTGTGACATTCTTCTTTTTAGCAATATATGAGACCTGAGGAATTCATTCTTGATACTTAACGAGCTAGTGTATAGTATGGGGATGATGTTTTGCGATGTTGATCAAATTTAATTCCAGAAGTAACAGTACGTAAGCCCGAGGCCAGAAAACTAATTCTCTCTGCTGGTTACATCCGGTCGGTAAAGATGAGCATTTAACGAAGTTCATGCATCAATCATTTCGGACGCATTGCCATAAATAAGTGGTCGTCTCAGCGATCACAAAATTAGCAAAAGGAACCATTACTACCATGTTATAATTGTCGAATATAGAATTTGCTTTACAATAACACTGACTACGGCATGCAAATTAAGGCACTTTTCACAAAACAATGTATGCACTTTGTCATTTTGCATGCTAAAGCTTTTTGACAGGTTTATCCCGAAATTATCCCGATAGAACAATAAAATTTCAACGGTAATGCAATCATAACACAGAACATAATACCACGAAAAACAATGTCAAAGATTTCACAAATGTCAGTGAAAAAAGAAAGTACGAACACTTCCTTGAAAATGCGAAAAACGGGGGGGGGATACTAATTAAGTAATTTGAAGGCTCGAATGGAATCACAGAGAGTGGAATTTAAAAAAGAACCGATACAATGAAAGATAAACAAATAGAGAATATCAGCCCTTGAAAGAAAGATTGTGTATTACTAGTTTATTCCTTGTTCACACGATGAAAATTGCAGGCGCGGCAATTATGTAATTCCATGCGACACGTCGCAAGCAGGACAAAGCGAGTTAAACTTACAACACAGTTTCACCACACAGATACAAATTATCAGTTGACTCAAGTCGGTAAACAAAGTAATATACAGGCGTATGTAAAACAAAATAAAGCTGAATTCCTAACACTAGCGGTTGTTTTTATAGTTGTTATTAAGCTTGCTCATTTTTCGTTCCCACGACACATGACAAAATTTGACCTCGCGACGAATGTCCAATGTCCATACGAATTGTCCTTCGATGTAACCTAACTTTATGCATATTCATTCGTCTTCGCCGGGTCGATAATATTTTAATCTATGCATGTAAAGGAAATTTTGCCACGATGCAAAGGATATTCGATTACAAGGTGTTGTATGTTATGACATGAGCGGTTCGTTCACACGTGCGACAAGGTTAATTTCTGTAGCAAATTCTCGTGATCCAGGGGGTCAGATTATAACAATAAACTGTAATTTGAAAAGACTCGAAAAGACCCAGAACAACTTTTTCGGGGGTCATTTTACATTATTTGTCTTGGAGCAGAAATAGATTAATCACTGATTGATGATGGACTTTTTACTCGCCGATCATCCTGAACTTTCGTTAATTCTTTTAGAAAATTGTGCGCGCGGGGTTAGTTCGCATTTTATTTTTGTTTTTTTTTAACTGATTTTCCTTGTCATTACTTGTTGTTATGAAACAAAAGAAGGTATAATTGGAATTAAACTAAATAACTGCTCTTTCATATATAACGCGAAGATCAAATCATTAAATCTAATATATCCTGCATAAAAGCCAGTTAATTTCCGTTACGTTTTTTAAGCAGTCTGTCTGTATAGCCTGCAACGACGGTAAGCGCTGGACACAGAAACAATTATAGAAAATGAATTTTTTGAGGCCCTACGTCATGACAGTTATAAATGCAAAATTACAACACTCCCGACGAAAGGTTGCCTTCGATCCGTCGAAACGGCAAAGTGTAATTTTCTAATTTTAGGCCCCCGTGATTCTGAATGATTTTTGCTAAGATAACCATGCAATTTTGGAGCAGGGCGCGACTTTTTTATCTTTGAATTTAATATCGTTTCCACTGAACACTTTTAACTAGCTAGACAAAAGTTACCATATATAAATATATATATATATATTTATATATATATATATATATATATATATATATATATATATATATATATATATCAAATATGCATTTAGAATCATATATGAGTAGAGTGCTCGATATAATAAAGTATAGAGCTAGTATTAAAAATTCACCTGATGAGTGTGGCAAGCGTTACTTGTCATACGAAACAAGTTTGTAGTTAATAAAATCTTATGAAGTAAACCAAGTTTATTCTATTTTATCTTTATATATATATATATATATATATATATATATATATATATATAAGCCTTAAGAATAATAAGTTCCTCTTCGTGGTGGGGAATTTTCATCATACCTCAGCCTGAGGCAAAAAGACTGCTATTCGGCGACCAACAATCCGGAGATTTCAGGCCATTTTTTGTTCATTTTAACCGATTTTTCGTTTGCCCAAGCCATGAATTTTTACACCAAATAAGATTTTTCAGTAGGTTCAGTTTCAAAAACAGCACCGTATTCCGTGTTAAGCTAGTATACATTTGCCCAAAATACTGAAAAACGCACTGACTAACGATCGAACGCTTTTGAACTGACTAAACTGATGAAACTGGTTAAATTATTGTTATAGAGTTAGTATTAGGATTAATATCGGCTAGAGGATGTCTGTTGTCCAGAGCGAAGGCCCGTGGGATAGCCCTAAAATTAAAGCCCTTTTTATACCAGTGGTCCAGAGCAAAAGTGTGAGTCGACCGAAAATTCATGTTTTATTTCGAATACAAAGAGAACAGAAAGATTACACATGTACTCAGGAATTAGGTGGGGGGACACGGGTTCTGCGTGCGGAGAGAAAAAAATCCCAAACTGAATATTGACCGTGAGTAAAGAGGCACACTGTGAATGACGGCGCACATGGCGAGTTTAGAATTGGTGGTAGGATGACACATTTCGTTCTTTGTGACTTTCCAGGTTTTCGAGTACGATTCACCTACTGTTGCCTTGGGTGTCATCTCTTTATAGCCACCTCAATAGATTTCCTGTCGCGAAACGCGACGCACCAATGACTTCGATTATGAAACCTTGGTTGATCTGATTGAACCTCATAATAACACCACCAATAATCCGCAACAAACACCGCAGAATCTTGTAGAAGCCGTAATACGAAGTTGTGTCGTATATTCGGCATACACGTAAAAATATTATTTTGTTTATGTTCAGGAACTGAGGCTTGATCGCAGTGAAGTATCCGTGTGGGAAATCATACTATTTTTGAAGGCCAAACAAACATAACATAATACTGCGTTTCAATGTTTCTTGATACTCCTACTCAAACAACAATACGGACATAGTACCCCGCGCCGCCAGTGCAAAATAACAATCTTAATACAAACGAGGAAATTAAATATCTCCTGACCGTCATGGTACGTGCGACGCGATTGGACGATGGGCCTAAAAGGCAATAGTCAATTCAAACGCTAAGCCAATCATGGCCGATTATGGGTTTCGCGAACACTCAGTCATTGGCCCGAGTAGTTTATATGTTTCTAAATGCTAAGGAAATTATATCGTGCTTAGTGCCCGAAAATATACACGTGCGAAAATCTTCTAGGAATAGACTTGAGGCTTGAGCAAGGCACCATCGCTTACTATTGTTTCAAATAGAAGTTTAGCGCGGCTTGGCAGCGTTACCTTGATGTAAGCACGCTCGAAGGCAGAGACCTTCGTGGCAAATGATCGCATTTCGTCGGCAATCAGGCTCGTCGCATGGAACATGGAAATGCTTTGAGTGAAAAGCAGCCAGCGTTTATATTTATGAAACTACAGCTACGTACTCGCAATGGGAGATACCGTACACGATGGCATTCATGACGATTTAACGTGTGAAATCACGAAGCTCAGTGCGGCCAAGAGCGAAAAAAACACGGTGGTCGAATATAGACCATCGAATCGACGGGCATCGCTGAAAATTGGACTGTTTGTATCTATTGGATTGAACGTAATCTTCGCGGCGTTATTTGTCGTAGTATTTATTATGTTAAACAATGTGAATTCGAAATTGTCTCGAGTCGACGAGCTTTTGAGCAGGGACAAAGTTAAATCATCCGAAGTATATGGAAGGAATGATGGACAAAATGTTCAAGTCACTACTACGCCGTTAGATAGCGGTTATAGAGGCACTGCTCGACAGCAGGAACCATCGGTAATATTTTGTTGTTGTACGTAGCGTTTGAATGCCAAATATTGCGAATGGCGTTGTGAATACGATTTTGTTACATTAACAATACATCGGGATTCGCTCGCTTCGTGGCCGCTTGTGGATGAGAGTATATGTTATATTTGATAGGATAACGGGAATTTGTCGTCGCTTTTGTGTGCCTGGGTAGGGTTTTTGAAGTACGTCGTTTCGTTGAATGAAGGCCCTTTTGTGATCTTTTAGATCGAGACGCCTACTCAAGTCCTAAGGAAAAATCCGACGCGTACGACAACTGCAACGAATGTGGATGTGTGCAAGTGTCGGGGACCGCAAGGTATTTAGCTGTTTAATATTGCTCCTATTAATATTTTCATAAATTGCTCATTTGCCTATCTTCGCAACCAAGTCGTAAATTGTTTATTCTACGGCATGAAAGCCCACAATTAGAGGCTGGCAAGATTAACGATTTTAATTCCTTGGCATGTACACACAAGCGTCGATCAGGTCTAATATGTTTGGTCAATAAATCGTCCGTCGAGGTGAAATTACCGTTCGATCTGCAGCTGTTTTGCCAGTAGTTTGTGTGCTCCAATGCCCGTGAAGTGCGGACCGGTTTAACGTATACAAGCCGAGCTATATTTCCTGCGTGGTTGGTTGGAATTGATCGATTGGCATGGTCTGAGTAATTGGCCATTTATATGACTATGAACTATGGTTCTAAATCCGCTCGCTCGCATTGAATTAAATGGGGCCTGGCAAGTTTGTTTTGGATTTGTGTGAGTTATTAAGGCCACATTTGAAATTGTTTCAGAGCTTATAATTCGTATTTTACGAAGCGAAATTTGTTAAACGATCGCGAGAGCGCTCGCCAAAATGCACTGTAGGTAAATAACAAACGAAGCGAAGCATATCGTTGGAATCTCAACTATTGATTCTTCCCGTAAACAATAGTGAGAACAAGCTAAAATCAGATAATAAGAGTGTAGACACGAGCTTGTAGGAGGCACACACACACCTCCCCCATGCTGTATTGAAATCCTTTCAAACGTCTAGTCGGTCCAAAGAAGTTCACGAGCTGGGAAGGCAAACGCCGATTAGCAGCAAAAACGTCTATTATTTTGCTTTTCAATAGCAAACGTGTGCGCCATGGAGCTTCCGTGTTCGCAAACGACTCTCTACTGCAGGTTCGTCGCGGCCTGCGAAATATCACGGCCCAATCGCTGTCGAACAAATACTTGTAAGTCACAAGAGATTCCTCATCGTCATTGCAACATATTTGCAAATTGTAGCAAAAGTGTCGTTCGAAATCGGATTCATTTTGTTCCCACTTGCTCATTTGCTACATTTTGTCATGTTCGCGTGAACTCGAGCGTTTTGTAAGCGACGTTTTTCGACGCGCGACGCTTTGCATCCTTTAAAACGCAATAGTTTGTCGAGAGCTGCACTAGAGCGACATCCTGCATGCAATTGCAAATCTAAATCGCTGCTGTTCATCGCGTATAGGGCGCCGTGCGTGCCACCCAGTGTTTTATATAAATATAGACTATTTCTTTTCATAACGGTATTACAGTTGGGTTCAAAGCGCCATTTGGTACCACGTTTGAGTTCCTTCGCTTGATTGTTAGTAAAACGGCACTGCACGTCGGCTGCTAATTAAAATCATCAGTCCGTTTTGGATAGTAAATTGAAAGGTGACCGCGGGATTTTTATGCCGTGGCTCTATAGCTATTTATTTAACCCGAGCCCAAGAGCATTGCTTCATATTAATAATCGTCACATAGACATTTATCAAACATAAGATGTTATCTCTTCATTGATCCTAAAGTGAGTGAACCCGCGAAAGCTCCAACGCATCTGGAGTCAAATTTCTCGCAAATCTGATTACTACGTTCACTTTTCGCTAGCACAAATGATAGTCGTTTATTTGGTCATTGAAGTATTAAGGCGCGCTAAACCGATACAGTTTTACAATACCAATTTATAGCTGCGGCTAGTTCAGCATCCGGGCCAACGCTCGTGCATACCAAGGGCTATTTAGTTATTTAGGCTCGTGGCAAGTTGATAAGTACGAAACGTATGTATGCAAATACGTTTTATCTTACATCGCCCTTGAGTTGCGACCTTTATCTGTATTATTTTTGGCGAGAATGTTTGCATTGTCTGAAGGTTCGCCATGTATCACATCAACAATCTTTTTTATTTTAAACGTACTTTCACTACAGTTTAACTGTCCTTGTATTCTCTCTCTCTATATACATATTTATATATATTATATGTTGTATTTGAACGCGATGAATGTTATAGGATCTGCCCTTCGTCTATGCTGTCAAATAGTTTGAGTTAATTCATTATCCATACTGTTGACTGGCAGGCATCCTGTTTACTATAGTGACTGAGCTGCATTAATTTAGGTTATTTTTCCATTTCTGTCAACTAAATGCTTTTGACAATCGTAAACCATTAGGTATTTCTCCAGCAAATTATGCACCCTTGTCATGTGGAGTGAACAGTTGTCTCACAAATTTTAATATGCATATAAATTCATTGTGTGGGAGGGTGCTTTAGAAAAGGAAGGGACTAAGACCTTTTGAACAGAATATTATTTCTCCCTTTAGTATATAAATGTTATATATATATATATATATATATATATATATATATATTAATATATATATATAAAATAAAGAGTCAAATTTTATGGCTCAATAATCCAGCTGACAGGCATCTAATATTCCAGAGTAAAGTAGAAATAATTGGTCATTAATAGTGTTTTTTATACTACCATTATTGATTAATGAAATAAAATGCCTTAACGGTAGCATTATTTAGAGTGTTTTTTTTTCCATTATCACAATGAATAGGCAGTCATAAACAAGGGATAACTTTGATACCACCATACTTGCAAAATTGCAGGATACATTTATTTTGATATTTGCACTGCAAACCATAAAGATATATGCTTTTTAGATGTGCAGGAGTAATATTGCTCCAGAAATTAGTTTAATAAGCCAAAAGATTGGTCAGTGTTGCTTTTCAAAATGTGTGCTTGCTCTTAATATTGAACTATATAATTGTAATTTATGTATCACAATGTCATGTTTAAATGTCATGTTTAGGGCCCTCCCTGTATTGTTTCCAACTAACAACTTAGGAGTGGTTTCTGACTTAACAGGAAATCCATATTGAGTATTAGGAAGTAGTCTTCAATTGTTAACAATGTTGGCAACCCACACAATTTAAATTACTCATTGTCACTTTCCCTAAACAGATATAAAATTTTCAACTTTCAACAGTGGAGTACATAGGTAGATTCGCACTGATTGTGATTGAAATTATGCCTAACTATTGATGAGTGAATTGTTTGGCATATTTTTACTTCAATAGTAAACCCACAGATTTGAGGAAATTATGGTTTTCAAGTTGAGAAACCTAGCTTTGATTTAGCTTTATATTAACCAGGCATACTGTATATAAACGTTTAATAGACAAATATAAGATCATAAGAAATTAATTGCATAACATTCTTATATTATTTCTATATTGTTGCTTGTAGTGGAAAGTTACCAACTATATGCCTAGGTTGCTAACTTGCAATGCATGACATATGTTGAGCGACTATATTGCAGCTGCTATAATCTGAAATCAAACAAGCTTCTCTCTTTATAACATGGGTAGTCTTAGTCAAGTACCTGGTTGAGTCAAATACCAAGTACTGTGCCACAGTGACTGTACATTTGTTTGTACTATATTTGTTTACCAAATCTAAATACTTGTAAATTGCAAAAAAATAACTCACCATCATGGATTTTAAGGCAACAACGCATATTGATTATTTTCAGCAAGTATTTTTTACATTTTTAGCAATGCATGAGCGTTTCTTAGACAACCTATTTCCGAAGATTGTATTTAAAGTATTCAACTCAACCGAAAAATACGAGTTTCCGTTTACAATCTTTTGCATATTTAATTGTGTTTATTTATTCTGTATGCTCATGTCTATATTCCTATTAATAGTATTTGCTATAATATTTATAATTATATATTTGATAGTACCAAAATATTAGACTAATAGTCGTTTTGTTCGGTGTTGTATTGCAGGGTGGGAGACATGGCTGCAGATCAATAATTAAATAAATAATGTATACATATATTGGCTTACATTCCCTGAGAAACCACAAATGTACAATTAAATTTACCTCTCATCTTCAATGGCTGCAATGTTTTTGAGATCAATTACAAGTGCAGATACTGACATCTTTACCTATGCTCCTTAGATTTTCAAGAGTGCATCAATTTTAACTCATTTTTAATTTAATGCATTTTCAACAACAAAGACTAGCGAGGCTAAAGTCGACTTTATTAAATAGATTATTAAACTGCTCATGACTGCGGTTTGTACGATAGCACAGTTTGCAGGTCGTTGTATAGACAAAAATGCGGAAGTATTAACACAGATTTTGTCAATTTTTCACAGGCTTTATGCTCATTTCCCTATGCCTACAGGCCACAGGCAATGAAAATACTATTAGTATTACTATCAGTTTCTGCGTTGGCTGGATTTTCGTAATTAAATAAACTAAAAGCCTGTAATCGAGACTTTGAAAGTGTTTGTTATGCTCAATTCTGAAGCAACGGCCACCCCAAATTGCAATTCAGAATTTTGTGAATTGATAGTCTTAAAAGTTACAACATCTTTGTTGATGTTTATTTGTATTTCAAAATTCAATATTTATTTACTTGATGATTAAAAGAGTTTTAATCCGGCGAACATACATTCGCCTTCGCCTTTCATTGAAAAGCTCAAAAGCCAAGCCAAGTTGAAGGACATGTTTTTTGAACTTGTAATTTTACGCTTGATGATGATTCTAACCACGACGACAATGCACATAAATCACTTGGAACATAATGTTTTAAGCGTTTGCATGAAACGCAACACAAATCATGAGATTAGAACATATATGAAACGACGAATATTTTAATTCTCGTTATATTTTATCTGCAATCTCATTACAAATATCACACGGAAATCGAATAAACAACGAGTCGATTGCTAAACTGAATAAACAGTCTAATCACTTACCGTCTAAAATGTAGTAAATCCATTAATTTTGACACCTCCGCCGTTTCACTGTTTTTTTTCTTTCATACTTCACGATTTCGGACTTAAACACTGAGCTCAAATATAAAACTGGATTTCATTCGTATCAGCAGACACATTATAGATTTAATCGAGCGATTAAAAAAGACCATTACTTTCACGTGTTTTCTGAAAAAAAACTGTTGTAATGTCATTATTTCCTCCCACTTGGTCAATATTGAAATACAAAACAATCTTATATAGCTCCAAAAAGCCACAGTATTTTTGTCTCTACGATTCGACTCATATTCATGCATTACCAGGGTAAACTGGTAATGTTATTTATCAAAAACAGAATTTATATGAGCCGGCTGTGAGTTACAAGAACATAATATTGGCAATTAGCTTGAATTTAGCAAATTTCATGTTAGGTAAATATTCTAAGTTCTTTAGATGCTTTAGTTCAATGATTTAATTCGAGTTTATATCTGATTAAATTTGTCAATAATTTTTGTATTACGAAAGACAAGTTCATAATACATTTTTGATTGGATGTTGAGTGTTCGTCTAGATATAGTTCTAATATACATTTCAGGTGTTGAAACTGTTCACAAGATGAGAGGTGCTGATAGATTTTAGATTACAAGTCATACGTGTGTTCTTAATTTCTAGGAATTTTAATTTATTTCGGGAGGGATCGTACAGCCGGTTATCTGAAATGCGTCTACTCTGCTCTGCTCTGCCTCCCAAGTTTTCCAGTCTAACTGATTTTAGTATCATTTAAAAAACGCAAAACTACAGTTTACAAACTTTTGGCGCAAACATCGTTGTTTTAGCTAGGGCTTGTCACGACCCTACTTTAATAAATACAATAGCTGCCATATAAGAAACGCCACTGAATGTGCGAAGTATGATTCACTCTACTTTTTTTCTTTTACAGGATTACGTGGTGAAAAGGGGACGAAAGGTAATTTTTGCTTTATCAACTACAATACTTTCAACGTTATCAGATTGAAATTATTTCATTCGCGGTTGAAATTATCAGTTACTCGCTTGCTGTTCATCTTAGTTATCAGTGGGCGATGTTATATATCATGTAGCTAAGAAAAAAATCTTTATAGAAGCGTGATTTGCCAAAATCATTTTTCGAACAATATCTCTATTTCGAATTCGCGATGTGATACCAAGTGCTTGAATTGTATTACTAAACCTCGCTGCACATTTAAGGAGGCGCCTTTCCGCGAGTGCGCAAGACATACACGTGTCTTAGATATAATAGCCTACATATTAGATATAAACTATAGCATTGATTGATGATGATTTTTTCTAATAATATCGTTGGCTTGCCCAAAGCTACACGTCATTGATCTCATTATGCAGTTAAATTTCCTCATTTGCACCATGATAATTTCGGTCATTAAGTTTTGCCAAAACCTCTTTGTGTGTTGAAACCCTGGCGAATGCATGACATGCTTCATCTTCGTTGGTACCTGGAGGACGATGCTAGAACGCAAGAAGTTTATTTACGTGGGTTCAGAGTAAACTAACATCCTATCATTTAGGCCGGCGCATTCAAAGATACCTCAGTTCTTTCCTTCGATGCAAGCACCAAATCCTGTTTGAACTGGCAGTAAGAGCACACGCACCAGGGTTATATTGGCTTACGTGCATGTGCTTTTTTGTGGGTGGTTTTTTCCCTAGCGACGGACACGCAACTATAAGAAAATGTTTAACAAAGATATTTGATATAAGAGTTCCGTTCAACCACAATCAAGTGCGTATATGAGATGAGAAACTGCGAAGACAAATAGAATAGTATATATCATAAAATATTTCCGCGCTTCCTGAAAATCACAATTCTTTCCGTTTCATCTTCTACCTTTTGATAATGAGAACAAGCCTGTTTTACAGAAAGACTAGAACAGTGGAAGAATGTAAAGCATTTAGAGACCACCCTTAGATAACCCTCAACATGAGTTCTACATCCTGATTGCAAATGTTTAACCATTATTATATTGAACTGCTAATATCGAAGCATGTAAAAGGCAACAAACAACCCGACTTCTTTTCATCAAAACCTGCTTTGTTTAACAAATGTAATCTGATAGAGTCATTTAGAATGTGCTACATTTTGTCGGTGGAACACACTTTTAGCTTTTAGTTTTACGTCTAAAGTACATGTTCGTAGATTCATGCGAACAAGATTAGTTTGGGGTGATAATAACAAACAGCTGTTGTTGGTTTATAATTAACTTTGACTCTGTATATAACAGGACGTGCATCGACGCAGACAAAAATTAGCATGTAATTATATGACGCTTTTGAACACTTGGAAAACAATCATTTGTCGGCGTTTTAGCCTTTCGCGTGTTTATAAGAATTTTTGTTCTAACGAATATTTACCAATATTTATCGCATTTTTAATCTGAACTAATTAGCACCATTGTAATTCGTCGTGGAAGCTAGCTAGCGGATTAAATAAACGTCTAAATAAACTCCCCATATGATACGATTCGCATGTACAGGCATTTGGGCGACATATTCCCTGTATACAATGTGATATTGTGAAATTTGATAGCTTTCAAATTAAGAGTGTTTCAAAACGCACAACCATAGTTAACGTATTCATGTATGCAGTATCAAAACACGCCCAAACAAATAAAATAACAGGATGAATTGTCATGAAGATTGCACAAGTACCAATACAGACGAGAGGTGTAAGCAGTTAAAAGGAGACTATAAATAATGCAAATAGATTTGACAAATCCAGCAGTTGATGTTTCCGCTATATGAAAGGTTTTAATTGCAATTGAATTGAGAGGATTGATGATAATTAGCGAGTATGTAGAGTGCGTGTTTCTCACGTCCCGATATTTTATATTGCATCTTTCAAAAGCACAAATACTGTACACATATAGCTGAAGACACTAACCTCGTCTAGCGACAAAGAGAATGACAATGATAGGAGTTTAGCGAAACTAAATTTCAAAACAACTTCACCTGGTACTGAATGAAGTTAATTTCGACTAAAAGAGCACCATTTTCGCCGTGAGCTTCAATTATCACTTTATTAATACACGTTTAACATTTTTACGACATTGTAACATTTTTGCACGGAACTGCGCAATGCTAAAATCACTTACTGACTCGTTTACATTTCTAATGCCGCTAATTAAGCTTTTGTGCCCTTCTTCCTGTGATTTGTTTTTGATTAAAAACATCACAGACAATAGCTTTTGCAAATTTTATACAGGGCCTATACTATGTGACAATTCCGGACCGGTAAACATGTACTAAATGCTGCACTTTTCAAACAACAATGTAACTAATTAAGGCATATAAATTTTCCCACGTTTTGTGGGAGTATTTTAGCGTATATATAGGTGCTTTGTGATTTTTCAATTTTGGCAGACATTTATGCATATTGGCAGATATTAGGTTCTGATGATCCTTTGCATGATCGCACTCGTGATCTGATGAATAAGAATTAATATTATAAGTGGAGGAATGATGGAAAAGTAAAGGGTCACTGCTATATCAATGGCTGCTGATTCGTGTACTGTCATTTTTTGCCGCACTGTATAGTGGTTGACGTATACTGCACCCTGCATGAGACTTTTCTTACCGTTCTTAGTATTGTTCTTTTCTTATTGCAGGAAGGAGAGGACAGGAAGGTTGGTATATCAATGCATTTTTCTCTTTATACCTTTTCTGTCGGTCTGTATAGGGTGTCATGATTGTCGCTTGATTAGAAAAACCGTGTAAAAATACATGCAGCAATCGTCTCCATCTGTACAGATGCTCGTTTGCATCGTGGCTTTTGAATATTTTAATTACTGACGAATGGCGAATATTGATGCTTTTTATGGGTACTAGCTCTTTCAAAACGGCAAAAACAGAAGCTAAAGGTTGCTATGGTCGTTTTATGCATATGAGTATGTGGAAAAAGCATAAAATATTCGTATTCTTTACATTCCACAAAATGTGAAGTATGGAAATTCAACTAAGCCACCATGAGCCACCTATCATTTTTTCTATGTGTCACACAGCCAGATCTAAGCGGACATTTAACGAATTATAAATATCCCCCATGCATGTGTGTCTTTCAAGACAGTTCTTGGTGGGATTTAATCATCACCTTAGACAAAAACTTTAGACAAAAATATTGATTTGATGAAAGGACCCTACTGCGCCTTTTAGGAAATCTCGAAAAGGCCGGTCGCAATGTCATTTCAGCAAACGTCGCGCCTGTTCGGCTTCTTTGTATGACATGTAGTAGAATTTTAAATGTATCACATAACTATATACGATCTAAAAATTCGACGAAAGCCACATTATGTATGTTTAGCGAATCACACATAGGTCTATATAGGAAAGGATTTTTGCTTTATCATCTAACTATGAACAGTTTGCAATTTGAAAAAGAAAATTCGAAAATTTGTACCAATCTTTCGTCATTCTAGCATCGGGTAAAATGTGGATAACATTCGGGAAATATCTTATACGAAATTAACGCAAGTATTTGAATACCCCATGCAACTGCATGTATAGCATTAACCGAAATTATAGAGCTTGGTGTAAATATGCTATACAATTTTGAAAGACGTGTCTGCATGAGGTACGCCTCCTAATAGAGATGGAAATATATAACAGTTTCGCCGCAATAACTGTTGTAAGAATTCATTAATATAAAATTTTCCAATTCGTGATTCCCGTTTTCGCGTCTTAAATGGACTCACCCCAAAGCCTCATTTCTACTTCACCTTCGACTGAAATAACCAAGGCTACCATCTTCATAATTAAGGTAACATATTTCAAATATTTCAATGCCCGTGTTTGGAATACCATCCATAAAGAACCGGAATGAAGCAAATTTATAGAATGGCAATGAACTTGAATCAATTTTCATATTTCACCATTTAATTTTTGGAATACGATTCAGTTTATCTCTATGTAAGATATGGGATTTCACAGAGTTCAGACGTGCACCCGAAGAATGATTATATATAATATGTAAGTAATCGATTGTCAATGTTTTAAATTAAGGGATGTGTGTCAGTACCTAAATGGTCATTGTTTGCTTGTTTTATAAGGCGGTAAAGCAAGGGTTCGATTCACAATGTTCTATTATGTTGACTATACAGTGGGGTGCCATAATACCATTTTCATTTCATTATATACGTATCTATTGTGTTGAAATAATGAAATACTAGACTAGTCTGATAACAAAGTATATCGATATAGAGGTCGGCATTGCATTTTTAAATGAATTTCTTCACTTAAATGTTAATTTGGTTTATATTACCTACACCGGCGCCAAAGTTACGAAAATGCAATGCAATAAATGTGATAAAATTCAGGACCGAGACTGAGCGAAACTGTTTTCCTTAGAAAGATTTGAAAACGCCACATATAGTAAATCTATTGGCCATATTTATCAGGCTCTATATTAGTATATGGAAACAAATAAATAAATGAAGCTACTTAAATAAATATTGCTGATTTGATCGACTCTGAATTTTATGTCCAGATGGCCTAAAAAAGCCAGTCTTCCATGACGAGTTTGTACCCAAAAGGGCATATGCGATTAGAGAGAAAAAGTACACGGCCGCAACATATGTCAAGCAAATTTTCATGTAGACCATGCAAGCGAAAAAAGTGCATGGCCACCATTATGGTGCTACGGCTAAGCTTTTGACTTTTCTTGTCGTATGAACAAATAATAGAAGATGCAATGCCTATATATGTATCGACATTATATTAGACTTTGTCTGGACCTTCGTCTGACTTGAAATACCCATTCATTATTGAGGTTGAAAAATATACACTAAAGAGAAAACAAATACTCATCCGTTATGCATTTAAAATCATGAGCATTTCGAGATTTTTCTCGCCATAGTCTGGACGAACCTCGTTAACGTTTCCTAGGTCATCTTGCAAACTCATAATTTTTTCATAAAGGAAGGAAGGCAACATCTATTCAATATTTAAGTCATATGGAGGAGATTTCATGTTTACCTAACTCTTAACGCCTGGACAACGGCCCAAAAGGATTATTGCAAAGCTACTTAGTTATACACGGCATAAACTCGTTAACGGAATTAATGTAAACAATATCGTGAAATGATTACGTTCGAATTTCATTTTATTGCACACCAGATCAGTCATATTTTTCCCACGCAGAAAGACCACATCATATATAAAAGCCTCGTAATGATATTTGCGAAGCTGGCCCAGAAGTGCAAATATTTGTTCTCAAACAGGAAAGGACAATGTTTTTTGTTTGTTTAGGTTGTTACTAAATGCGAACCAGCCTTAATAAATGACCATGGGAGCAAAAGCGATTCTACGCTTCCATGCAGTACGATTTTAAATTATTATCAACCATGCGTCATTAGGATAGAAGTTTACATAAAGCATGTTTTGCAAAGTAAATAACGCCTGCTTCATATTTTAGTCACAGGATTCCGGGGGGTCGATTCTATTCCTTTCTCACAGACATACCATTTCCTCAATGTTGTCCACAAATATTGGAAATCGCAGGTTCTTGAACTGGGAGGCCATTGCCACTATGTCGCAAACATTACCCAATAACAGGCTAACATTGTCCATGCGACTATATATCAGTATATATTATAATATGCTCCTTAAACAACGAGCTTGTTCATTTTGTCAAATAATTTAATCAATAATTTAATCACGAACCATAGTGTGTGTTACTATTATACCCCCACCAAAACTGTGTGACTATTTAAAACGATTACTTCATCGCCGACAAATTTTATTGCCTCTGTGTTACCACTCCTTGTGATCAGTTCATATCGAATTCCAAAACTTTTTTCAAATGCACTAAGATTAAATGACAAAGTTCCTTACGCAAAGTAACGCCTTAATTTGAGAGCGTGCAAGTTCTCATGCTGTCGTATTTTACTGTGGTATTTCTATATGGATGCATATCAGTCACCATCTCAATTTTTGCAAAACTATATTACAGTGGTTCATTCAAGCAAGATATTTTAGTAAGTTGGATGGGTTTTTTAACTCTCCGGCCATCTTGTACACCGTAATTGCTTTACTAATTGATGATTTCCTTTAATTATATCCTGTTAAAACCTAAGTAGAGGTGTTAATTGAGTTGTGTGTCCCTATCAGTCGTAATTTTTCATCGCGCAAAAATTCGGTATTCTTCTGCGGGCAAAGGTTTGGGATTTTGGATGTAAACAAGTTTTAAAGCATACATTTTAAACCGTGTGGGGAAACCGAAAATTTAATGTTTACATGCATGCACGATTTGGTAGGAAACTTTTTTTAATGACCTATCGAATTCTTCAATAGGCTTTTCGTAGCATTTATATCTCGGAGGTCGTGTTGTTATTAAGGTTGTTAAACAATCGTTCAAGTCGGATTCTGGCTAGCGCTAGTTCCCGTACAATATACTGACAGGTTTTTATATTAATATTTTCATCTACTGTGTGATTAAGGGCATGCCCTGTGTGAGAAATTTTAGAATTTAATGCTCATTATTATGGCGAAATAAATCCAGACCATGCATAGTCCAATATAAATTTCATCTCCCCTCAATATGAATTTTTTATGCCAGCTTTCCAATGACGCACTTGGTTGCAGATCTTTCGGCATTTTCATAGGCAAAAAAGGGAAAATCCGCCTTTTATAAAAACTGTAATATTTCAAGCACATACATTAACACTGTTTTTCGTGTTTCATAGGAGCTAAAGGTGCGAGTGGTCAAAAGGGTTCAAAAGGTTGGTGAAATACTAATCTACCACCTACGTAATTACATTCTATAATTCGCAAAGACGGTTCAAATCTGTCGTGCTATCAAACTCCAATCGCGACAATTGTCTGCCAATGGCGCCATTTTGTTTAAATATATTTTGCCGGGAGATATGTTTGAAAATTTATCACTGATATAAGACCGGGTCTTGTGGCTTTTGGCGAACGAGAAGTCGCGTACTATATAGCTGTTGCTAAAAACATACAACTATAGCTAGGGCGACAGCATATTAGATTTTTTATGGTCTATACCTGCTGGTACATTTTCATACGGATATTAATTAAATGATAATTTTCTCTTGCGGATACTTCGATACTGAGATTACATGAGAGAAGCAATAGGAATTGTAAATTGTTTATTTTCGGATATTTTCTCCGATATTTAGAAATTAATTTGCGAGGAAACGGAAGCTGACACGTCGTTATTTCCACGCGTGTGGGTGTTAATTCTAAGAAATTTCGATATACAATTGGCTTCTCGCCAAATGTGAATAGATTCAAAAATGTGCAAAATGATGTGTTTGTTTATGCTAGTTTCATTTATGATCAGCATAGAAAAGGAACGCCATATTGCCAAATGGAGAATAAGAACAGCGTGACCTCCATGCAGTAACGTGCAACACTATTTGGGCGGGACTGTTTAGTTTCGCTGTAATCTGCATGTTTGTCGCATTTAGCAAGCAGAGTACGGACAGACGTTATACTATGTAATCAGGCCAGTTACGTTTCTAGATAAAAAAGGAATTGATAATATCAGCATAACGATCGTTTCAAGTTCAACGATCCCGGTGACCAAGGACGCGCAGTAAAAGGTCACGAATTGCTCAATATATATAACGTCATTAAACTTGTCGCTAGACATAATATCCTCGATTATCAACTCTGCTATTGCGGCGTTTCTCTGATTAACAAATTTGAGTCCGCCATTCTTTTTTTACTCACACCTTACATCCACACCTTCGTGACATTGCATATTCAATTAATACCATGCATGGCCCATGGTATTAATTATTAATTATCCTGACCCCACGCTCTGTAATAGGTTTTTGTTATACATATTTGTATTAGATATCGTGTGACATTAATGCTAACTGTACCGTCTCGGCCACAGAAATTATTTTAGACTTCAGGGACATTGGGATAATTATGCTCTTTCATATTCTACGCTAGTTATAAAACTACTTTTTTGTTTTCGTATCCGGTTCCCTCTCGTTCTGCCAAGAAAATTTAGCCACCATGCACGCACATCAAACTGTCATGGTTTAAATTATCTGTATATTTGGGGTTTAGGCTGGAATTATACTGTCTATCTTCTGAAGTACAATTTCCTTAAAGAATATGTTTTGGTTCCTTTTTAAAATACCGTTGCGGTAAACATTCCCCGTTTTTCCTTGCCAATCAAAAGATCTCGTTGGAGAGCATGTATGCTAATTTTTGTTTTTCTCTCTTATTTTTAGGTGACACCGGTAACACAGGTACGTTTAACCGTTTTGATGTTTTGAAAATCGTATCGGATCAAGTGGCGATTGCTGCTTCTATATTTCACACATGAGTCGTCTACAAATGATCAAGGAATATATCTTCTAGATTCCTTTGCTCATGTTTTGTTTTATTTGTTCCTGCATGTCCTTGCGCAGCGCAGATGGCTTGACCATCTTCGTAAGTAAATCTCTTCTCGAATCATAACATTATTTCAAGTAACTTAAATAGACTTATTTTAAGCTTTGCTTGATAAAACAGAAGCCAAAAAAGTCCGTATAACATTTCATCCCCCTGTGTTCTCCAGTTTACGGCGTTTTTTTAACCCCAAAACGATCGACCCACCGCTTGACTATACATCTCAACTTTCGAACCGTTGACAATTTGTCAGAATTACCGCAGAGCGTCACGAGGTTAATGCACCAAAGGTCTTTGTATAAAGTTACTTACATCGATAGAACTTTGATAAATGAGTCTTGGAAGTATATTGCATCTTTCATCGTACCAGGATTTAAGTACATATTTTCTAGGATTATAAGAAAGAACGCATGTGAGTTGGTATAAATATATAGCGTGCAAGTTTTGGCTAACAGGATAAGCAAAAAATCTAATTTTTGAAAAACAAAATACTTATATAGCATCGCATCATGCAACCCATGGTAGCTTCAGTGTACTTGTATACATTATGCGATATGTGTTTTATGTTCTAATTAACTCATGTATAGTATAGGGTTTTAAAGCCCGTATTCCACCGGGCGCAATTTGTATCACCGATCAGTCCCTTTGCTATAAAGAACCTTTGCCAATTCCGATCCAAGTTAAAACGATTTTAGCTTAAAAACATTCACAGATATAAATCTCTCGCGAGTTTCTTGGTCGCCAACCAAGATCACGTTGGCATAAAGTCTCCAGCATTGCAGTATACTGACTTAGCGTGATTGTATATAGTAATTTTTCAGGGTGTATCAAAAAAGGCTTAATATTCATATTATATTACAGTACAATAGTACTTCTAATTGTGTAGCTCGCAAAGTGCATATTTATACCAAGTGCATGGTTGTCTTTTTTATACAACCTGTGTATTGAACAAAAATTAATGTCCATCTGCAGTATATAAACTCCATAAGCTCCGAGTCAATTCATTTTATGTGTAAGCAGAAATCACATGTCGGTTGACGCTAATCGATGTTTTATGTTTCAAACCATGCTCATGCATGTTCTTAAATTCACTCGCTGACGATCCGTGTGCATATTTTAGGTCCAGCTGGAAAACTGGGACCGAAAGGCGCACCTGGTCCCCAAGGTTTGGTGGGAGATCCAGGTATCCAAGGTCAAAAAGGCGAACCAGGAAAGTGCGAGGCCTGTAATATGACCTCGTTATTTCGAACGGTAATAAATAAAGGCCATGTTTGCCTCTTCAATTCCCTTAACGTCTCTTCGATTCATATCAAGTTTCAACAGAGCGTGATTTTCCTGTATCTAAGGTTTCAAATGTTTGTCTTGCAGGTTAAAAAAGAACGCCCTGTCGCACATTTAACGGCTTTTAGCGAATTAAAAGGGATGCCACAATACGGTAATTTTCTTAAAATATTTCTTCATAGAGGTCATATGTGTTTTTTGATGACAATCGCCGGATCCCCGGATCATTCAGATCCCCGCCATTCATATTGCTAGCACTGATTTAGAAAGTGATAGTCTAAATTTTTTAGAAACCGAAACTGATTAGACTTTACAGTAATTATACATATATAGCTATATACTAACGTCGCTGTTTCCAATTCTAAAACCACCTTAAAGTGGATTGGTTTTAGGATATAGATTATATACCTGGAAAAGATGCAAAACACCTGCTTTTAGCGTTGCGTCTTTTCAAAAAGCTAAAACAACATCCTATTTAAAGTGCGCCAAAGTTATCGAAAACAGTGAAAATGTGAAAGGTCTATATACTGCAGTAATATGTATTCCATACCGTATTCATTTCAGAACTACTCGATGTCTGGGCGAAGAAGGGCAGATATACGCAAGCGAGTCCAGGAATGACGACCACTGATTCGGAGCCTCGTTTCATTAACGTAACCGAAACGGGAAACTATTTTATATACAGTCAGGTGTACTTCCAGCTTCCAGCGACCGGTTCAAACTTGAAAAAGAAGCTCACTTCGGACGACCTGAGATACATGATACACTTCGTGTTCAAACAATCCGGTTCGACGCAGTCGTTGCTTCTGAGAGCCGTCAATTCGAACGGATTCGAGGGGAAACACTCCGGATTTTTCACGTCGTTCACGAGTGGCGTTCACCGTTTAAGGAAAGGGGACTCGTTGTACGTTGCCGTCCAGAAGAAACTGGGCAATCTCATCAATACGAACGACGACTCCACTTTTTTCGGAGCATTTAAGCTATGAGAGGGTGATTTTGCGTCGCCTGCGGGCAATGTAAGTGCGCACATTCGACCTGGATGAGAATTTCCATCGTATCTATGGACAAGTGACAGTCAGACAGGTAATGGTGATAGTAAGTACCGCGAGCATCAAAGGCCTCCGTTTGTACCCTGCCAAGCAGGTTTTTGTCGCCTAACATATTGTAGGACGTAGAGTACACCACAAGGTGATTAAATACATAACGCGCAGATCGCTCTTTCTTTGGCGACGCGTCGCGGATAGACAATCGAAATGCGCGTCGTATGACAAGCATATAGAGCCAGCACGGCAGTAAATCAGAAGGGTTTGAATGATTCTGTTATTATTGGGGGCATGATTACATGGGAGCAGTGAAAAAACGTGGGGTGACCTCATTCCGATCTACCAATTTATGAATGATCGTTTTCCAGGGTTGCCCATCTTCTCGGGGATCCATATTTCTTGGTGTACCCCAACTAATGCTAGGCTGGTATATACATGTTTTATCTTTAAACGGTTGAAAAGGTTTCCTCTAATATCGGCGTTTCCATGTAATCACCTCAATGAAATATATAAAGCTTGTAGCTTTTGGAGTCATTTGTCTATTAACTCGATTTATATCGTTCACTATGCCCTTGATTATATCAAAGTATATACATTATATATATTTTTTATATTATAAGCTAACAGAAACTATAATTCGTAGTTGTATATAAAGGTGCAACGCACGATGGATCGAAGATTACGAGAACCGCATACGGCTACCCTAGGATTATCTTCTGTGGTCGGTTGTGCGAAAGCTTGATAGCGTTATCCATCTGGGGCCGGTTGTATAAAACTCTTAACTACATTTTGTGTAGTTGAATCGTAGTTCAGATATACACGACTCTGATTGGTCAGTTCTGCCACTAACTATAGTTAAAAGTTAACAGTCTTTTCTATACATCCGGCCCCAGATAGTGGTGTTTTAATCGCATTAAGATGATTAAAGATTGAATAAACCTCGCATGATTCTTAAACTGGGATTCTCTTCAATATTTGCTTGCTCCGAAGCTGTATTTTGCTTTTCCAGCATTTTTAGAACGGCTGAAAACAATCCCCATCCCTGGATAACGCTATCTACGTACAACCGGCCCCAGTTATTTTGGAGATGAAGTATGTTTCTGAATGGTCAACTGGACGCATTGGCCAATCAGAAACATGCTTTGTCCGTCATAACGCACACTTTGTATAAAAGTCTATGTAATGAATGATGCGTTTACTTAATTCCAGTGTTTAATTCCGGTCTTTTTTGACTTAACTTGTTGGGCTGTTCAAAGCCTGTTTCAAAGATCGCGCATCCCATTGTTCCGAACTCATAAACTACAACACACGAGCCAACTCAACTAATTATTTATTGTTTTAATCCCGTCGGTACAATAGAGGCGCGACGTTTGAGACAGACCAAACAAGTCAAGCGGGTATTTTCTGAACATTTAACGATAACATAACAAAATGTAGCCGTATGCTCTCGTGACTTCTTCGTTTCCAAATATGGACTTCTCGATGACGTCATCAACTACAACCAAGAGATTCTTAGCAAATGAGGATTTTAGAGGTATAAATATTTTTCGAACAACAGGTGCAGTTATAGCACAAAAACTTTAGGGAAAGTGTATACTTCGAAAAAAAACTTTACTGTGTATCGTTTCGATTATTTGTTCCGAATTTCACAGTTTCTACACTTAATGAAATCGTTCAAGATACTTTCGGAAAAAGAAACCTCTGCTGCTTGGTTTTTCGACGCCGTAGTTGTATATGACGTCTTCGTTTGAACTCGTTTGTGCCTGACCGTAAAAGATTCTTCAGTTACAGACGTAGCAGTTCTTTAGTTTTCGTTTTCAGAAAACACCGAACGGGCTTTAAAAATAGTTGCAAACGCATTCTTCGCGAATGTTGTTTATATTAAACGTTGAAAGTATTGTTGTTTTGTGTTAAACTAGGTTAGGTTCGTCTCTTTCGTGCATATGTACTGTTGCTTATTATCTGGTAACCATGCGTAGAGTTAGTCTTTCATGCAAAGTTTTCTGGTAAAACTCGGTTTAATTCTCTGAACAAACTATTGTAAACATTTTCCCCAAGTGTGGTGTTATTCCAAAGATGATAATTACCGTGGCAACGTCTTCACCATCGGTTTCAGTTAACTCGCGTATTCACCCCTTCTTGATTACTGGATGTATGTGAAAGCGCATAATTAGTATATAGCTAGCATGTTCGGCGAGTAAGAACAGGAAAATGGTCAAGATTTTATCCCATTATAGCAAGGAAACTTGTTCGACCTAAAAGCCAACAGGCGCTTCATCTCTTTGCCAACGCACAAAAACTATGTCTAAACTCTTTCTTTATTCTGTGAGGACCGATGTCCAAATTCATATGTTCTGTATTAGAGTTGCCTTAGAGAGGTGACTTGCCTATAGACTTTTTCGGAAATTACGTCACATTTTCATCGTTTTAAATTTAGAACCACCTTAAATGAGATGGATGTTAAGTTTTACTCTTCCTCAACAAGTGCATGAAAAAAAATTTTTCATTTTGACATATAAATGTTAAAATAAGCCATTACGCCTTAGGTCTGGCCTCCAGCCTCGTTTTAGTATTACGACTTCTTTCCACATTTATTTGTCAAAATATTGAAGAAGCTTTGCACATGCATAGCTTGTGAGAATAAAATACGAAGTCTCATATAAGGTGGTTCTAAATTTCAAACGATAATGTTTGGACGTAATTGCCGAAAAGGTTCATTGTAAGTAGTGATACGTCGTCTAAAAATTTGGCCATTTTCTCGTTCTTAAAGCTCCAGCCATAGTATGATAATTTTCATTTTAACGAACTTATGCCCGAAGTGACGGAATCCGGGGATATCGATATCGACGTTGTAGAAATACCTGTATGTTATACAAACTAGAATTAAATATCTGAACCTTTTCAGGGTTCTTAGTTGGAATTATAGAGACAGATTGGCTCGTTGATTGGCCAGAATTTGTACACTTGTAAATAGCAATAGCGTTTTATTAGATTGAGGTTTTAAAACAGGATTGTTGATAACCTTTACTTCATTAAGCTTCCTTGTATCAAGGTGAACATTTCTGAACTGAAGAACCTAATAAAAGTAATCGAAGCAAAATATAATGTTTCCTTTATTAGTTTTGTCTTTGTTCGCATTATGACAAAAATATCAAAAAATAACTTTGTCTCTTTTGGATGACCCATTCAATTGGCTCTCAATGGTAAATATGTCATAAATTAACCAATTTTACCAGTTTTGCAACGCGGTCTATATGCACCAGTTCACTCACTGATGAGAGTTTTCTTTCTTTATACTATAGTTTTTTTTCCTCCCAAATATTGTTCATTTATCAAGTTGTTACGGGTGTCACCCACTTGCAATTTGTTACAAACGCATGCTGGTAAAAAGAGGCGCCGATAAAAAGATGTTAAATATAGGCAGCGTTCAATTTATGAAATTTTAACTCGTAAAACTCACTGTATGCTTGCATGATTCACAATTGTGCATTTCAGTTTTGCTCTATATGAAAATTCTACGGCATAAGTTGAAACAAATTTGCCTCTGAATACGTACTCCGCAATATTTTGAAAGCTCGTTAAAAAAAATATGGCAGCTATGAGATTGCCATTTTGAGATTTAATATAAAGTATATAATACACAAGGTTATTATATGGTATATAGTTCACAAAGTTATAATACACAAGGTTGTACGATTTGCCTTGTGTTATATACCGTGTGCATGACATATTTTGTTATAAATCTTTTTGCTCTCTAAATTATTTTGAAGTGAAACGCCTGTATATTCAAAAATCTCACTCTCACTCACTGAGTGTGACGTATAGAGATTGTGTTGGGATGAATAAGATAAGTCCTTTGAATGATCTTTAACTAATGGGAAGATTTTAGATAAAATGTTGAAAAGAAGCTCTTATTTGAAGTGTGAGTAAGTGTGAGTCGAGTGTGAGTGAGCTTTCAGAATACAGGCGTAAGTATAAAGACTTGCGGCTAAGTCGATCTGTATAAATGCAAACCAATTTCCGCGGTGCCCTCCTGAAGACCTATTGTTAGTGCGAATATCATTGCTTGTCATTTAGGTTAAGCGTACCAATGATTCACATTATGATCTAATAATTGACTTTAATTGATATTCGTTGCGAAGTTAATTGAATTTGCGGTTACAGGTTGCGGAAATTGCCAAACACAAGGCCGATAATGGTTGATGCTATAGGTTAATTTAGTTAGGCAAGTTTAAAGTTACTGCCGCAGCGGGATGGTACCAACAACCAGCTGCCGTTACGTTACCATAGCAACTCGAGTGAATAGCGTGATTAGATGTCGGACTAGACGCCCAGCGCTATTGTTCATTGTTGCGAAAAATTGAGCTGACTTAATTAACTGCGTCCTTGCATGAACAGAAGCACCATAGAAGCTTCCCAAGAAGCGTGCCTTCGTATGCATTCGAAAGACGAAAACGGTCGCTGCATATTTGTGTTAATTGAAGATAAATAAAGCAAATTAATTTTTACAAATATTGAAAATCCCATGTCAAAATGGCATCTTGTTGATGGAGTATAATGTTCAGGTCTTCGAAAATATTTGCAAACGCTTCGTCGCAGGAGAGATACCGCACACAGCAACCTTAAAGTTTGCAAGATAGTCGTGTGTGAGGTTTCGAATTTGCCTTATCTGCAGGCATGTTGTGATTAAGCTGCGTGATTTATGGATTTAGTGCCAAATAATTATTCTGCACGCAAGCTGAAAAAGATGCATGCAAGCAGACTAGAGGAATATTAAAATTTATACCTCCATACTGACTATTCAGCACGTGTGCAAATTGGTATATTCGCTGTTGTTAATGCAGATAAGAGGACCAAGGGACTGAAGCCGAGGAAGAACGATTCGCTGACGCCTGACTTTGTCATTTCATTTCTCAATTAAACAGCCTTTCTATGGAATCTGGTCTCCGGACGGGGGGGAGGGCAGAAATGCTAAGGTTTGCAGGTCTATCCGCTGTTGGTCATGGCACAACACATTTACTTTTAGTGTTTTAGTGTTTCATTCAGCTGAATGTCCTTTCAGTCCTGGGCATAAAAGGAATGAGATACGAGATACGATTGCACGGGCATAGGTTTCGGCAACTGCGGAAAATTAGCTTCTCATTGTTGGATTTAAATGTAAACTTCTGTTCCTCTGATCTTTTTGTCAAATTCTGTTCCTCTTCTATTTTCAAAAATATGCTGAAAACACTGCAGGTAAATACATCTTTTTGACCGATAGAGGACGCTGCAGGATTGGTCATTTTTCTTCTCCCCTTTTTATGTACCGAATCGCCGACCATGGCAGTACATCTGCATACTGATTACCCTGTACCATACCCGCGAACATGAAAGTCCAGGACAAAATAGGGACTCAAATTGTTGAAAGCTAAATTGTTGACAGCTTAGTTAACTTCATAGATTTTTTTCTTTCTCCGAATATAAAAAAGTTTTCAAAGATTTGAAATCCAAATTTCACGGTACTGTTGGTTTTCCATATATGGATTAATATGGACGAATATTCGGCATGAAAAATCTTCCAACCTGTGTAAACGCGCCGCGCTGGGCTTAAAGCTAGTTCTTTGTGCAGTTGTCTACAATGCAAGCACACCTGATATATTGGAACCTAACGCGAGAAATTTGCGGGGAAATTAATAGATATAAATACAATAGATAATGAAAGAAGTAATTATATATGCATAGAACATATTGGCATTGTGTTTGATGCGCATCAGATCGACTTACAAACTATTTTAATGGTTTAGAATTTTCAAGTAAATGACGTTTTAACTAGTCCATCAACTTTTGGACAATTTACCCAAAATATTCCGCGCACCAACTATTTCGCAATGAATAACGATGTTCATCATCACAATACTACAAAAGTTACGGAATCATACTGAATTTTATAAATTGAGCAAAAATGGGTATCCTGAATATAACCGTCTGAAGCAGGGGAAATCATATACCTTTACAAAACTGCAACAGTTAAAATTTGGCCTAACAACCCCAGTTGACAATGAGCTACAGAGCTAGTGACTGTGTTCATTTAATATACGAATTAAAGAAAGTCGGGTCATGCAACAATTACCTTGCATCACAGACGAATGGGGTCAAAAGGTGACTGCTATATTATCATAACATATATAGTCAATGTAAGCCCGGTATAACAGGTAAATGAATTAGCCAACGCGCGTGCAATTATTAAGTCCCAATTTTCCCGCCACTTTACGCTCGCGTCCCGCAAAAAAATGTAAACAAAAACTGATATCTGTGATAATAAATCAATTATGATTTTGGGCACTTCACTCGATGCAGGTAAATTCTGGAGGTTCAAAGGGTCTTAATTTCGAGTGAAATTATAAACACACTTCAAATTCAAGCCAGGAACAGTTGATGAAAAATTAAAATCAACTGTTCCTGGCTTGGAATTTTGAAGTTTGTATAATTCCACTCGAAATTAAGATCCTTTGAACCTCTAGAATTTACCTGCATCGAGTGAAGTGCCAAAAATCAAAATTGATTTACACTCACCTATTCCCGGCATTACCACCATGTACACATTAACCACGCCTTCTCTTGTCAGCTACCTCTGTAGCTCAGAGCATTGCAAGAGCATTGCACCGGCATCGCAAAAGAGACCGATATAGTTGACTCCTTTTACGCGTGTTTGACAACTCATTTTAGCTCGCGTAGGCATTGTGTAAAACAGCTCAGAGTAATGGCACGATTTGTTCTGGAGACGGCTGGATTATCCGTCTAGACGAAAAATCCGTCTGACAGATCATTCGTCTCAGTATAAACACACGACAAATTCTTGTGCAGAGCAAATGAGCAATTAATACTCGCGATAGAGGCAGAAAAAAATGCAATGCGATGTTGACCGGTCAATGCAACCACACTGTGATGCAACAAGACGACAACTTTTGTACACCGGCTATTCTAATTGAAACAATGAACAGCTACAGACGTTCGCCTAGAAACTTGGAAAGATTTTAAGATTCAAACAACTCAGTTTATTTGCCGGTTTCTTGCACACTGATTTGTACCAAATAGAACTCGACGTATATGCCTTTCACTCCTAGAAATGTGCTAGTTAATGTATATCTTGAAGGCACCTTCCTATACCGGTTTGATTAAATTTAATTATAGTGCAGAGCAAGCACGAGATTTGTAGATTTACCTTTTAACAGAAAAAATGTTGTGCAGCATTATTGGTTTGAGCAACACCATCATCCATGTCCCGTAGGCCCGATATCAAGCGCTGAATTAGTAGTTAAATTAGTACTACGTTTCAAACCCTTGTTTGAACACGAGGTTTGAAAACTCAGGACAGAATCCAGCTAATAACCTTTTTTGTCGAAGAAGAACAGGAGTATAGCTTTACATTTTCAGTTGAGGCATATAATTGTTGAATTAGTGAGCACCCGAGTGCACAAAGCATAATTATAGTAAACAAGAATTCATCATTTACTGAAGACCTAGGTTATACGTCTCATTTTGGTCGCGTCGAATGCAATTCAAACAATAGATAATGAGCCGATATATAAGCTCCATTATTATCAGCAGATAATTACGCTTCACTATCATCTCATTATCTATTGTTTGAATTGCATTCGACGCGATCAAATCGCGACGTTCAACCATGCACAGTTAATAGAATATACATGCATGGTTTGGAGACTAAATAAAATCACAACACAACTCATTAACTACGTCATTGTCCAAGTTTATGCAAAAAATAGTTCCTTTCTCGTCACGTGTCTATTGTATTTTAGCCAAACGTACATGGCATTCGTCTTGCTAAGCTCCTCAACCTTGACTTGAAAAATATGTTAATTATAATGCTATTGGTTTTCTATGTAAAATACAATCGACACGTGATGAGAAAGGAACAATTTTTTTGCATAAATCTAACTCGACATAGTTAATGAGTTGTATGTAGTTTTATGTGGTTTCCAAACCATATATATTCTATTAGCTGTGGTTACATGAAGACCAGTGAATTATGTTGTATAAAAACCAGCCATTAAGGCTATTATGCTCCCGAAAAACGACTAGAACCTATCAAAAT